GGAAATAACTTATAGACTTTATTGTGATAGTGAGTGTGTTGTAAGGTTTTAGGACCTTAGGAGAGTGAAAGACAAGTGAAACATTTACTACTTGAAAGGCAAGTGACATTAGCTCCTCCTACCTTGATTTGGTGTCCTTACGTAAACATTTACTACGTGAAAGACAAGTGACATTAGCTTGTCTTCCTTTAGAGTAAAAATTTATTTTTTAAGGATTCTGAAATAATGAGAGTTATTCAAATATGTCATAATTTATCCTAGGCTAATTAATGATAAAGAAATTGTAAGTAAGAGAGATTTATAATGAATATTGATTCATAACAATTAAAAATGGTAATTACTAGTTTGATGATTGTGGTATGAACTATGTTGTTGATCATACTTTCACCGTTGGAATAGGAGTGGCTAGTGAGTAGTTGGTGTCTTGACACTTTGATATCATGAAAGTCTACGAAAGGTAAGATTTCGGTCTTCAGGGTTATGTTTGTTCCGCCAAACTCCATGGGAGGATGGTTTATATATATATATATATATATATATATATATATATGGTATATTTTGGAAATGATTTGTATTATAATGCATTGATGTGCAGATGTGTTGATGTGTTTTCCACATGAAATGGCAATTCCTGAGTGTGGGGTGTAAGGTGGACTCCTTATAATTGGTATGTAGCAAGACGTTGCGTAAATCATACATGATATTTTCTCTAGCCAGTAGAATTACTGTTGCACACATGACATTGGACATATACTACATTGTTGTTATACCTGAAGTGAACTTAGGGGCGGAGGAATCTTTCTAGGACCCCTAGTTTACTAAGAAGTTTATCTCACCCCGTGTGGGGACGATGTTTTTCAGGTACTATGAGTGACGATGTTGGAGCATCTTGTGGCATGAGACCGGATAAAGATCATATCATGTCATGAGATATTTATTTCTGTAATTGTGGATTACATATGAGACATAATGTTATATTTGTGATGAGTATAAGGGTTATCTATGCTATTATATATTGAGTTTGTTTACTCTTGTTGGAGAACATGTATAAGCCTATGTCATTTGAGCATTTGTATTACTTTGGTCGTTTGATGTTATGATATATGAAATATGTTTTGTGGAATAAGTGGTTAAAGTCTTGAAATGATTTATGTTATGTATGATATATAAATGAAGGTCTATTAGATGTTGTATGAAATCTATGGAGAATATGAACATGTGTAAATAGATTACCTAGAAAGCATATGTTGAAATTATAAAGAGTTAATCATGAAAGAATTTGGTAAAGATGTACGAAAGTAAATGACCTAGATAACAAATTGCTAAGTATTATAAGCTAAGCTAAGTATGAATGTAATTCTGGTAATTAGATATCAAGTAAGGTATGGACTAGGGCATGATGCCTAGAAACATGCTAAGTTGACGACTTAAAGCGATTAATGGTCAAAAAGTATGTGATTGGATAATTATTTGAGTAATTAGGTAAATGACAATACGCAAAGAAAAATAAAAAGTTTATTCACTTTTTCATATTATTTTTTTATGGGCACTTTTCATATTATTAATTGTGAATCAATGAGTATAGTTTCCGCAATTTATTTAATTAAATATGTTGTACCTAATACCATTCTGATGTTAACAAACTAGTTCGAAACGAGATGTTACATGGTGCATGCCTAGCCACAACGCATTAAATGGAGGAACATACCCCAATAATAAATCATATAGTTTAGACCACCAATAATATGGATTAATTGGCAAGAGGTTGTATTTACCAAAAATAAAAATTGGCAAGCGGGTGTTTCATTTTAATTGGTGATTGATGTGCCTCTGGCAAGTGTGATTTTCTGTGTTAAAATTGATAAGAATTGAGTCATGCTAGAGCAATTTAAATATATATTTTCTAATTATATTGATTCTTCCTTTTCAATAATATTTCTCACCTATTGGTTGTGTTTTTACAGGAAAAAGAAGTGAAAATTATAAAAAGCTTGATGACGCGACTCCACACAGATGTATCACAGTACAATGGACAGAAACATGGCGCGGACCAGCGCCACATTGACGCGGACCCACGCCGGATTGCGAACTTTGCAGCAGAGGTTTTTGAGTGGCGCCTAGTGGCGCCAATATGGCGCCAAATTAATGAAAAAATCAAGTGGCAGTGGCATGGCGCCACTTAGCGCCAAAACCATGCCAACTAGCGCCAAAATGAAAGCTTCCAAATTCATGGCGCAAGATGGCGCCAATTCCATGCTAGGTGGAACCAATTCCATGATAGGTGGCGCGACTTTACGAGAAAGTTGTCCAGATTTTTTATTCTGGTAGAAGCGCGGCGCGAAGTAGCGCCACATTGGCGCCAACTGGCGCCGGTTTGCGGGAAATTATACCGTGCTGTGCGAGGGCAATTTTGGAAAAATAGAAGAGACTTATAAATAGGATCCTCATGACAGAATTAGGTATCTAGACCTATTCTTCTGAAGAGAGACGACGACGGTGCTCAGAGAGGATTTCTGGGATTAAGTTCTTCTTCTACCTTCTCTTTAATTTTATGCTTTCATTGAATATTGGATTTTTAGCCATGATTATGTTTGGCTAGCTTACTTTTTATTGTACTTAGGGTCACAAACCCTATGTGAACCCTTGTTACGCAGATTGATTTATAATTGCTCGTTTATATAATTATCTTTATCTCTACCCTGTTCATATTTTATATTTTCTTTATTAGAATTGATCACTCTAATAGTTGATAATAGTCTGAGGGTTAGAACCCTAGATAGAAATATTGGGGTTTTCATCCTGAAAGGAGGTAGGATAACGGTTCGTATGCATGCTAGGAATAGATGTGTATTGAATTGCGGATGCCTAAATTATTGAGTTCATCGCTTAATTTTCATGAGGGGTTGCTAAGGGATTAGGATTCCAATTGCGATTAAAGGGTTAAATTGCCAAGGGATTGAGATTTAACTAATTATTTTAGATAATAATTTATCCGAGTAATTTTATAAATGAATATTGTAAATCAATCCAAAGTAAGAAGTGGGGATCATAAGGTGAGTGCGCTCTAGCTACAATGCTTTTCTCATATTTTCACAAACCAATTCTTATTTTTATTGTCTATTTCTCATAAGCAAAAATTACAAAAACAAGTCTTTATTTTCAATTCTCACTTTCACACAAATCGACAATATTTGTCACAACCTTTGAACTCTTCCATTCTTAAAAGGAACAATTAATTGATATTCGACCCAATCCTTGTGGAGATGATACTTTACTTACTATCTATATTACTTGTGCAGTCGGTATACTTGCCGGGAAGCATCAGTGATCTCAAGTTTGAATCTTGGGTGTGTTACTCTATTAAAATTTGGTGGGGAGAGCTTAGTCACCCTTGGTGTTCTGCCCGACTAGACCAGATTAGTTGATTAATTGATAAACTAGTGGACAAATTTCAAAAACTAAAATAAAATTATATAGTTTTGAGATATTTGTTGCATGGTTGCATTAGTTAGTCTGGCAATACGTGATCTCACTTGTCCTCGTTTTAAAACTATTTTCCTTGCAATCTCAATCTTTCTTTATATTATTTTGGTAATATTTATAGAATTTTATGCTGTCGTAAACTATGTAGCACCGATACGACACGCGACACGTGACACGACACGACACGACACTCCGACACGTCAATCCTAAAAAATTATGGATTTCGACACGTTGGGACACGTTTTAATATTAAATAATATTTTTAATTTATATAGTGTATATTTCATTTAATATTTTAATTTATATAGTGTATATTTCATTTAATATTTAATAATTTAACAAAAAAATGAAACTAAATTAATAATACCCATCAACATGTTATAAAGATGGAAGCTTTAATAAAAAAAATAAGAACTGGGATGAGAGAGAGATATAATATCAGATAGAGAGATCAAATCATATTAGAGAGAAGAAGATACAACAAGAGCGTGATAGGAATTGACAACAATGATGCGGAGATGATCTCTTATCTACTTAAGGGAAAAAAGACAAAAAGACAAAATTGATATGATCAGGTGGAAGCTTTATTAATATATTTTAACTTTTAAAAAAATAAATTTTTTTAAAAAAAAATTAAAAAAAAAATTAAAAATTAAAAATAAAAAAAATTACGAAAATGCCATTTGACCGTGTCGGACACGGTCAAATTCACGTGTCGGAATGGTCAACGTGTCGAAAAAAGTCAACCGCGTGTCCGACACCGTGTCGGAGCGTGTCGCCGTGTCGGAGCGTGTCGGACCCGACTCTTCCTGTTTTTACAAGTGTCCGTGCTTCCTTGGTCGTAAATGTCTTAATATTGTTAACATGCCTTGAATATCTACAACATTGTTAAATAGATACTTCAATTTGGTAATTTAATTATTTATATTATCTTATTATTAATTATTGTAATTATTATCATCATCATTGAAGATAATTAGAGAATGAAGGAGTTTGTGGGTCTTATTTATAGAATTAAGGAGTATATGAGCCTTATTTATAGAATTTTTCAGTTCTTCCTTTTGGATTGTGATCCACTCTTCAAATATGATTTTTGAGTGAATTTATATTTTTTTGCTGGGGTAAATATTTTGTTGTTGTTGTTGTAAAATTATTGTATTATGCAGTATATTATATATTTTTTTTTTGATATTTTGATGAAAAATATATTCCAAAATTAATTTGTCATATTTAGGATTTTTGTGTGGTTTCTACTCTCCCTATATCCGTTATAAAATTTATACTCTTATACTATTAGGTACTTTAATATGTCTATTAATAAAAAATGATATACATAATTACCGTGGTTTATTTGCAACATTAATAGTGTTACTTCTATATTTTTTTTTGAATATTATATTTCTTCAATAATTTTTTGATTTAACTCATTTATATGAAACTAGTTCTTAAACTAATTTTTCGAGGCATAACATTTTTGGGAAGACGTTGTCATTAAAACAAGAAAAAATAGTGCATACCGTGTGCTTAAGGTTGTTCCTGATTCAACTTGATTGGATTGTGTAGCATGCAACTGAACATGGCTGTTATTATCAGCGACGAGGCTTGATAATATGTCTCTTTCCTGTCACATAAGTTTTAAAAATACAAGTAAATATACAAATTAAAGTCTTTATTATAAAAACCATTTGACAATTTTAAGGCATTACTATATTATAGCGATATGATTATTTAAGAGAAAACCTTGTATTCCAGTTGTTTGTTAAGCTCCTCCAAGTTGTGCACCTACCAATATATAGGTAATGAGAGAATTAATGACTAGTCATATAAAGGTACATATTGTGAGGGCAGAGTATTGAGATTAATCAAGTACAAAGTATCAACAATCTTATGCATTTTACATCTAATTATGTCAGTCAAGAGGGAGATATAAGGTGTATCAATACAAACATACTATGCAAATTATACTACTTTAATTGTTAAATTGATCTAGAAGTTTATCGGTATCGAACAAAGTTTATCTCATGCATTTTAAATCGATCTATTATAGCCTTTGGTTGTTTTGTTGGGAAATCAACTTCAATTTCCCCTTCCAAGATCTGTTAAGAATGGTCTACCACAAGCAAGAACAAATATTCCAATAACTATGCAAGAACTAAACACCAAGCAACAAAAACCAATTGTTTAATATGAAAAACCTCCTCAATGTGAAGAGTAAAATCAACAAGACTAGTTTCATAGTCCACCCAAATTCTACACTTTCAACAAAGTGAGATTACAAAGATTTCAACAACAATTACAATCAGTAAGAGCACCAACAAACAACTCAACAAGAAGTTATACCAAAATCCAGACGTACAAACAAATACAGCCTCTGTCCAAAATTTATATTTAATATTAGAAGACTCAACTCATAATTATAAAGAGTCAGACTAAAGTATTACAACCGAGAAACACGCTGACCAAATTTGAGGACGATCTAACAGCTAAACAAAGAAATCTCCCTATTTGAATCTTATTTCCCAAAACAGGACATAAATATTAACATCCCCTGTTCTCAGTTGCACTGAACCATCTTGGAATCTTCAATCATAAAGCTGAACGGTTAAAATCTATTACAAGATGTCCTCAAACTTCTATCAAAGTTTGGGCTCAATCCAACAGTTCATTTGAAAGATATAGCTCTCGAAATACTATTGCTTGCTGCAAAGTCCTCCAGGAAAACCAAATCGGGTTTGGAATTTCTAGGAATGCTACAGACCTCCAATCAACAAATGCACCGTTAGATGTGAAGAACAATGAGTAAAGAACTTGTTAAAAAAAATTTAGTTTGATCGGACAGTGGATGAAGGCAATATCTAAGCCTAAACATAACTCGCTACTTCCCTTTCTCCTGTGTGACTTTCTCTTAAATGGCTCTCTTTCTTTTTTGAATGTTGACTGACCTCTCTTCTCTCTTGTCTTCAAAAATGGATGCTGCAAACTTGTAAACCCTATTTTTTTTCATTGGGTCGGACTTGGATTTTAATGATAAAAGCCCATCATGTTCATCATTTGCTTCTTTCCTCTCTGGTGTTGAACAAAGTAGTTTTCCTAGAGAGCTCACAAATGCAACTTCTTAGGATAACAAAATGGTACAAATGGATAGTTTTCCTTAACCTCCACTTTAAGAACCTACTCATTTCTCGCAATTTAATTTTCTTCGAACACATTTTTCCCTTTAACGACACTAATATTCCATCATTCCCTGCCATACCAAACCCTTCAACCACTACTCATATCCCTAACTTAACAGGTTCACCTGCTATTGCCCATAATCATGCACCACTATAATCATATACAAACATTTGAACTCTGCCAAGAGATAACTCTCAACTAGCGACTAACGCACCACATCACACAACCCATTCCCTTGATTTTGTTGGATATATTAATGTAATCTAATAATATGTTCACATACATGCCCAATAGGTTGAAACATGGTTATTTGGGCCTATATGAGCTGGAACCCAATATTTGCATTATCTCTAGGGTTTCCTAAGTTGGAGGATAGACTACTGAGCATTCCAAACTTGATGCCTCTTGGTGTACATTTTAAGCACATTTAAACCATTCTCTCTCGAATCCATAACCTCCAACAATCTTGAAGTACTAGCTTTGTGTATCGGATTTGAGCGAGTAAGATGTCTATTCTAAGATCTCATTGTGAGAAACTCATATTTATAATTACTTTCATGATTCGACGAAAGGATTTTCCAGGATTTGAGCTTAAAGATACTGCAGATGTAACTTTTCGGTCCAGATCCCAAAAATTTCAACCATTTTCAGGAAGTGAAACCCACCGACCTTTGTTCTATTCGTCAAGACAATCGTTTTGACTGGTCACTTTCTTTAAAAGGAGGTCGGACAAAGGATATATGTCAATTTAAAGTTTCAGGTGCATTTTCTTACAAAAAGAATATTCCCTTGAGGGGAATATTCGATCAAGGAATATTTCAATAACCTGGAAATATTTCAGTGAGTTTCAGGTAATAGGGGTAGTCCTTCTTAAGCTTTTTGGACACTCCTGATTCGTTTTTAGGGTCTATTTTGGAAAATTCCAACTCTACAAAGAAATTTGATAAAAGTTAGAGTCTTTGCTTTAATTTGTGAAGTCTGTGGACTGCAAGGTGCACTATTTCTATCTTTTAGCTATGATTAAAAATGGCTAAATGTAGTTCCTATGATATTATAAAGCTGCAATCATTTGATGTTACTAAAATTCACGGTTGGAATTACATGTTCAATTTGGCATAAAATAACGTGAAATATTCTATAATGTATTAAGTGATTTTGCATCTACCGTTGAAAACATGGATGAATATCAATCGAACAAAGACAAAGATTTTTGTAGGGATTACTTGTCAAATTCTTCAAATGCTCGTCTAGCTATTACTTATAGTGAGTATAAGATGGCGAAAGAGATATGAGATCACTTGAATGTTCAATTCCAAAAACAAGAGGGGCTTTCCTAAACTCTACTAGAAAAGAAGTTCTTTGAATTCAAGTATCACCTCTCAATTAATTGAATTAGAAAACATGAGGAACAAGCTAAAAGATGGTAAATATGATATGTCTGATAATCTTTTTGTCGATCTTATGTTGAGTAAGCTACTTGTTGAATGGAGTTCTTTAAAGACTAAAAGAAAAGATTGTACTAGATGAATTAAAGAGATTTATTCATAGTAAGGATCAAAATTATTCTAGGAAGAGTTTGGAACAAGTAGGACAACAAAAGTCAGTTGCTAACTTAGTTTCACATTCCGAAAAACCTCAGAAGAAGTCCAAGTCACAAAAAGTGAATTCTCTTCATAGTTAGATGACAAAAGACTATCCTCAAAAAGAAGAAGAACGGTAAGTTTCATAACTGTAGAAAGTGGGGTCCCTGGATAGTATAGTGTAAGTTACCAAATAAGTTAAAGAATAACACACCACGAAATGAGGCTAATACATTAACTAATGAACTTGAGCCTCAAGCTTTCATTGGAATGATGAAGAATGGAAAAGCCAATGTCTCTTTTGAGTGGCAGTTGGATAGCTGAGCTACTTGTCATGCTACAATTGACAAGAATTTACTCACTGAGATCATAGAAGTGAAAGACACCACCAAATTTACAATGGTGGTGAGGTAGATGTTACTCATGCTGGAACCTCAATTTTGATGCTTTCTTCAGGTAAATTACTAACTTTGAAACATGTTAGAGTAGTAATCTTACTAAAAAAGAATTTGATATTTATGAGTTTACTTGATAAAGTCAGTATGTCTTTCTCAATAGTGAATGATAAAGTAACTTTATTTGTTAACTCATGTTATTTTGCTGTTCGTTTATAGTTAGTGGTATGTATAGGTTGAGTTTAGATACTGGGAGCATAAACCATATAAGTTCGACTTTGATTGATCCAAAGTTGTTACATAATAGACTTGGACATGTGAACTACAGAAAAATGAAACATCTAGCTAAAACTCATAATATTCCATTGGATGCCTCTATTCGATTTGACAAATGTGAAATATGTGCATAAACTAAGATCACTAGAAAACCTTTTAAGTTTGTTTTAAAAAGCACACAACTTTTTGAGCTGATACATTCTAACTTTTGTGATTTTAGATATTATGTTACTAGAGGTGATAAGAAGTATTTAATAACATTCATAGACGATTTTTCTAGATATTGTCATGTTTATTGTTGAAATTGAAAGAATAAGTTTTTGAAAGGTTCAAGATTTTCAAGTTGAGAGTAGAAAATCAACTCAAGAATACATAATGACAGGGTTCAAGGAATTTTGCGCTTTAGAAGGCATAATACTTGAAACCACTGCTCCTTACTCACCTCAATCAAATGGTGTTATCGAGCGCACAAATAGGACAATAACTAAAATGTTAAATTATATGTTAAGCTAGCATGCCTTCCTCCTACTGGGGAGAAGCGGTTCAACTGTTAATCACATCTTGAAAAGGTTTCCACACTCTAAGTTGCCTATGATACCTTATGAGATATAACATAAGTGTCCTTGTAGATATTATACTTTTAAGAATTGAGGTTGTATTGATTATGTAAGAATACAAGATCATAACATACCTAAGGTGAGATCTAGAACCATTACTTGTGTATATTTAGGAAGTGGAAAAGATAGCGCTGCAAATAAGTTTTTGAATCTATCAACTAACGCGGTGATAGAATCCAGAGGTGCATAATTCTTTGAGAATATATTTCTCGAAGATCATGGCTTAAGTGTTTCTGGATCTACAGATATGATTTTATAATCTCCCATAGAATCTGAAGCAAGCCCTTATGACACTAACCCCATACAACTGACTGTTGAATCAGTTCCAAGTAGAGTATCTATGAGAGAGAGAGAGATAGTTCCTAAAGACTTTGATGAGGACTTTGCTACTTACCATATAGAGGATGACCCATTATCGTATCAGGAAGCAATGAGATCTAGGGAATCTCTGCGTTATTGAATTATCTGAGAAAACAAGAAGTTATCTCCTTTTTTGATGTGAGATCGAATGATAACTTGGCCGATGCTTTCGCAGAAGGTATGCCTAAAGATCGATTTTTCAAAATAATGGGGAAAATGAGATTAAAGACTATGTAGAGAAGTCTTAATTACCATTTACTTACCTTCCAATTATGTGTTTTGTTGGCCAAAATGATAAGCACAATTTATATGTTTCATCGATGTTCATGGTTACTGGTTAATTTGAAAATGGCAAGTTGTCTCGTTCCAAACTTAATGAAGATAACTTAAACCTAATTCAAAGGTTCTACCTGAGAAACTTGTGTCATTCCAAACTTGATGATACAATCCCATCGGATTGAACCATTTTTTTGGTTAAATGATCTCATTCCAAACTTGATGCTAGATTATTTAAATTTGAGGGATTATAATTGTGACATTCAAAATATAAACTTTGAAATAGTTGTTTGCTTAAGAATCTTGCTGGTGTTGTTTTTAACTGAAACTTGATATCACATGACTAGGTTATTGTAAGTGACTTGACTATTAGTCCTGTTCTTTGAAACTAGACAATGATTATTCTTATACAAATAAACTTAAGTTGATGGCTCTTTGCAAAACAAATTGTTTAGACCTTGTTCATAATTAATAAAACTGGCTTAATGCTTATGAACATGATATTATAATTCTTTATGACATTAATTTATGTTCTTCTTTGATAGATGATATGATGCTAAATTCTTTCAGTAGAACAAGACATCTTTAGTAGATTATTCAACTGATTGAATTCATGATAATATGAAATTCATATATGATATTCTATAGGGGATGACCGAGATGATGAAGAGCTTAATAAGTGGGATCTTGACCAAGATGACTTACTTGAAGAATGAATTCATCATTTAGAGTGTGTAGGGTCTTGATAATTCACCTGTTATTGCCCATTTGATGGAGTCTGTTTATTTGAGACTTACATTTTGCTATCTTTATTTTATAAATATTGTTGATTGTGAACTGATTTTGAGACATATTTTGGATGTTGGGATTTGGATAAGTTTAGATTGAATCTAAAACTCTAAATATTTATTTTGGTATGTTGATCTCAAAACATATTCATGATCATGGTGGTTTATTTATTTAGATTGCAAATGATGATTGCGTTTAATATCTTACTGTTAAAACTCTTTGACTAATCCAAATTAATTGTCTTGGACTGGATGTGAATGATTCATATTTATTTGAACATTACACTGATCACTCTATTAGATTGTGTTGTATGGTGAACATAAAAAGAGATATTGTTGAATTATTAATAATATAATCCAATAATATGTTCACATACATGCCCAATAAGTGAAAGCATGATTATTTGGGCTCATATGGGCTGGAACTTAATAACTTGCATTATCTCTAGGATTTTCTAAGCTTGAGGTAACACTATTGATAATTATAATCTTGATGCCTCTTGGTGTGATACTTTAAGCACCTTTAAACCCTTCTCTCTCGAACCTATAACCTCAAACAGATTCTACCTCACTTATCAATACTCACCCAATCTATAATCTATCTTTTCTCAAACCATCAACACGTCCAAAGCACATGCCATCATATTTGGGTGATTATCACTATGGTCTTTCCTCATCCACAACATACCAATATTACCAATCTTTTTTTGCACCCATTTTCAGGTTTAGTATCCTTTATCTCAAGTAGTATTATATATTTTGTTCTCCATGCTATACATGTTTTTGTCTTAACACTTTCTCTAACAAAGAACCCAACTCTTATGCCCAAGCTTCCAAATATGCTTGTTGGCAACAAGTCATGCAAGATGAGCTTACTGCTCTCAAGCTTAATAACATATGGGTGATCACTGAACTCCCACATGGAAAACATCATATTGGATGCAAGTGGTTATACATAATGAAGCAACGAGTTGATGGTTCCATATAGCACATCTCTTCGACAAAGCATTGATTATCTTTATACATTCTCACCGGTGGCCAAGCTCACTAGTGTCTGTGTTCTCTTGTCGATTGCTTTAGCTAGGGCTAATATTTCAATAATGCGTTCTTACATGGCGGTCTCCATGAAAATGTGTACATGACTCTGCCACATTTTTCTTATTGTTCCCCCCTCACAAAGTTTGCAAATTATAAAAATCCCTCTATCGCCTCAAGCAAGTTGGTAGACAATGGTACTCTAAGCTTTCCATTACTCTCATTTCTCTCAATTACACACGGTCAAATGTGGACCACTCACTTTTCCTTCATCATTCGTGCACTTCCTTTATTGCCCTTTGGGTCTATGAGGATGACATTATCCTTGCAGTGCTTCGATGAGATTCAAAGGGTCAAATATGTGGGTTAACCCATGACCCGCAACAACTTGTGTCAAAATTTTTAAAATTTTATCTTTAATTTTTTTTTTGAATTAACTAATTTTATGGGTTGATACGCTAGTTACGCGGGTCAACCCGTGACATGACATGATAATAATTTGTGTCATTTACCCAAACTCATAATGACTCTTTTTATTCCACATGTTGACACCACTTGCATTTTAATGTGTATTGTCGCGGGTCAACTTGTAGGTCATGATACATTGTGTCACCCCTACAATTTTCCCAATTGAGATTTGATTCCTAATGCTTGCAATGTGTAGAAATTTTACATAAAAAATAATAAAATTGGTTTAACTGAAAATTCGTTATCGGTTGAACCCGATTCACCAATTTTGTGCCTGTTCAAGTTTATTCCATACTTGGACCGGACCGGTTGCGAGGTCTGGTTTATAGGTGAATAGGTCGGACTGACTCGTTTGATCCAATTTTCAAATCAGGTTGTTCTGATTCACAGGTTAGAATGTCGCGCTAATCCTTGTTTTTCAAATCCACACAACTTCCGTAATTTAATAGTGGTGATTAGACGTCCAAACTTTGAATTTTAATTTAATTATTTCTACTTTAAGTTATTATTTTATTATGCAATAACTTTATAGATAAAAAGGTGGAATGGTTGATACTGAAAATATTTTTAAAGGAAAACGTAACGCCAAATGGAGTTGGGAAGTTTACTAATTTATTTTTGAAAATTATGTTAATTTTGATATATAATATTTGAGAAATAGCTTGAAAAATATTATAAATTTGATGATCTATTTCTATTGTCAGAATTTAAGTATTTGAAATATATTATATTATTATTTAAATAATTTAGAAAATACAAATTTTTAGAATAATTTATATTTCTATTGATTTAACTTATTCTGTAATATTTGACTTAATTTTAATGGTATTAAGTTATTATTTGAATGAATTAGAGAAATTGCGAATTTTTAGAATAATTTGTATTTCTCATCCGTTATCTCTTTTACTGTTTGCAGTGTTCCATAAATTTTTGTAATTGAACCGCAAATAACCAATTCACCCTCTCTTGGTTCTCTCAATTAGCATAAGAGGTTGATTCTCTAGAAGGCCTAACATAGAGAAGTCGATTCTTGTAGGTTCAATGGTAGGAAATTTGATATCATTAAAGGGCAATCTTCGATGGGACAAAACTATATACTTAATGAAGTAACGAACACAATTTCTTGGCTATAAGTTCTTGCTTGTGATAAAGAAATGGACCAATCATTCCAAAAGGGTGAAAGATGGCAAAGAGGTGAAGAAAGCTGAAGAGGGATTCGCAAAAAATCACATGGAGTAAAATCCAACAACATAGCACCTTCATTTAGTATCTTAAGTTTAAATAATTACATACCTTTTCGCGTAATTCTTCCGCTCGTGCCATGAGCTTCTTCGTCTGCAATTTAAAAGCGAGATAATAATAATGGCAAGTACATATATGACATAAAGTTGTTATAACTAATGTAAGATCCCCCCAAACAAAAAAAGAAAAAAGAAAAATATTAAATACAGAAGAAAATGTTTTAGCTCTACGGATCTAAGGATTTGGTTTATTATGAGCACTTTATTGTTTTATCTATTTCAATCAATTTTTTTTTTTTTGGAAATATTCCAATCAGTTAATCGCTTCATGATAGTCCGACTCGGGGTGAATTCAAGATTAAGACTTTAAACTCCTTCCAAAGGTTATACCAGGGAAGGATCAAACACACGCTCTCACTCCCACCTGCTCAATTCTCATACGCCAACTTGTTGGGAACTTGGATCCCTCAACTCTGCTCAACAACCTTTTCGCGGAAGTCAATCAACAAGATCCTGTATCTCGAATATCAACAATCTTACCTCGGCCTGAACTTCACCAGGTCGGGCAGCGAAGCGAAAAACAAAAATATAAAAGGGAGAGAGAGAAAGAGAACACAAGCAGATTTTAACGTGGGAAAACCTTCTCCAATGAAGAAGTAATAATCCACGGGACCTAGTCCAGTTCAAAAGTCCACTATGAAAATAATGGATACAAAGGATCAGAATTCACCAATGTGGTAGTTAACACAACATCTCCAACAATGGCGATAATCAAACTTCCCTAGAGATGTTTCACTCAAACTCTCTCTAGAGATCTCTCAAATACAAAGCTCAAAGCTTTGCTCACAAATCTCTCAAATAATTTTCTCTATTTTTCTAACCTAGCCTCCACCCACAACTAATGAATATATAGAGAAGGTGGAATTTAGGATTTAGGATTTTTAGGAAACCCCTCAATGGGCTTGGGCTTAGCATTGAAGAAGAAAGCCCAACAAATCTCCCCCTCCAACTTCAATGCGTCGGCTTCAGCATCAATCCGGCTCCTTCACAACAGTCTTCAAATTTTCTTGTTGGAACCGGCTTTGTCATCATGTCGGACCAATTTTGGTCAGTGTGCAATTTGACGAGTTCGAGCTCTCCACCTTCCACCACATCCTGGATCCATTGATACCTCACATCAATGTGCTTGGTTCGGGAGTGATATGTCGAATTCTTTGCAAGATGATTGCGCTTTGATTGTCACAACCCAGCTCGTACTTGTCTTGATCATGACCGAGTTCCATGAGGAACTTCTTCACCCACAACATCTCTTTGCTTAACTCAGTAGCGGCAATGTACTCAGCCTCAGTTGTCGATAGTGCAACACACTTTTGAAGACTTGATTGCCAGGAGACAGCTCCTTCGGCAAATCTCATCATGTATCCCGTCATCAACTTCTTCGAGTCGGAATCTCCCTCTAAATCAGAATCCGAGTAGCCTTGCAACTCGACTGTGCCTTCTCCAAATCAGAGGCATAAGTTGGTCGTACCTCGGAGGTACTTGAAGATCCACTTCACTGCTTCCCAGTGCTCTTTGCTGGGGTTCGAAAGATACCGACTTACCATTCCAACAGCATATGCCAAGTCGGGTCTAGTGCAAACCATTGTATACATCAAGCTTCCGATAGTGGATTGGTATGGGATCTTCAGCATCTCGTCTTTGTATTCATCAGATCTCGGACATTGCTTCTGGTTCAGCTTTATGTGTCTTGGCTAGGGGGGTGCTCACTGTTTTGGCTTTGTTCATGTTGAATCTCTTCAGAATCTTCTCAATATACTTCTCTTGACTCAGCCACAGTAGCTTCTTTTGTCTATCTCGGATAATCTTGATTCCGAGAATCTGTTTTGCAGGGCCGAGGTCCTTCATTGCGAAGGATGAGCTCAACGCCTTCTTTAGGGCGGCTATCCTCGATTTGTCTTTCCCTACAATAAGCATGTCGTCAACATATAACAACAAAATCAAAAAACCTCCAGCCTCATACCTCTTCACAAATACGCAGTGGTCAGCCTCTGTCTTCTCAAATATATATATATATATATATATATATATATATATATATATATATATCTTCTAAATCACCATGAAGAAATGTCGTCTTCACGTCCATTTGTTCTGCCTCAAGGTCCATCGAAGCTGCCATAGCTAACACGGTTCGGACCGATGTCATTTTCACTACAAGAGAAAAGATCTCCTCAAAGTCTACTCTTTTTTTCTGATTACAGCCTTTCACTACAATCCGGGCTTTGTATCTCGACTTTTGCCCGTTCTCTTTATTCTTAATCTCTTAGACCCATTTATTTTCCAGAGCTCGTCTTCCGTCAGGCAACTCGATCAGCTCATAAGTCTGATTCTCACGCAGAGACTTCATCTCGTCTTGCATTGCCTTTTCCAATTCTTCCTTATCTGAGCTCGTCACAGCCTCATCATAACTCTGAGGCTCACCGTCTTCAGCAACAACGGTGTATTCATCAGATGGATACCTTATAGAGGGTCTTCTTTCTCGTGTTGGATATCTCGGCTGTTCTTCAGCTTGAGAACCCAGTTCATCATTCTCATCCAGCTAGGCAGTGTGTGCAACTTTCCAACGCTTGGCCTTTTAACCCGGTCAATAATCCTTTCTTGTTCAGGATTTGGAGCCCTTTCACACTCATATGGCCGATGCGCTTGCGCCATAGCTCCAAGCTAAGTCCATCTCTGACAGAATTGGCTTCTCTGCTATTGATCTTTCCTTGCGTCACGTACATGGAGCCTTCCTTCTTACCTCGGGCAACAACCATGTTTCCCTTGGCCAGCTTCTATCTAACACTACCGAAGTAGTTCACTAACCCGACATTGTCAAACTTGCCTACCGAGATTAGGTTTAATCGATTGTCAGGAACATGCCTTACATCTTTCAACACAAGTTAGTACCCAACATCTGTGGTCAGGGTCACATCACCGACACTAACAATCTTGCTGGTCACCTGATTTCCCATCTTCACGACTCCAAAATCATAACCTCGGTAATAGGAGAAAAAACCTTTGTGTGGAGTAACGTGGAAGGAGGCACCAGAGTTAACAATCCAGGTGCAGTCATCATATGCAACATTCAAATAATTATCCTCACCAAGGAGGAATATATCGGCATTCGAGTTGGCAGCCACCGTAGTGGTGCTCTTGTCTTCCTTCTTCTTGGGAATAATCTGATCCGGCTTCACAGAGCCATTCTTCTCGTCATTCTGCAGAGTCCATCAGTCTGGCTTCTTATGCCCTGTCTTCCCATAATAGAAGAACTTCAACTCATATTTCGGCTTTGACCGGCCTCTGGACTTTCCTCGTTTGTCACGATCTCGATCCCGACTCTTACTTCTACCCCGGGAGTCGGATTTCCCTCTGTTTTCAGCAACATTGGCCTCAGACGTGCTCGAAACACCTCGTTCTCTTCTCCTGGCTTCTTCATTCAGGAGACTATCTGTTACGACATCCATCTTTAATTTTCCTTCTGGAGCCGAATTACTCAAAGTCACCACCAGAGTATCTCAGCTTTCTGGCAGCGAGCTCATCAGCAACAAAGCCTGCATCTCATCATCAATTTTCATCTCGAATTTAGACAACTGATTAACAATACCTTTGTTGGTGTTGAGGTGTTCAATCATGCTCATGTCATCCTTGTATTCCAGCTTCACAAGTCGGCGAACCATGTGTGTTTTGTTCCTGGGAGTCTTCTTCTGAATCATGGACTCCAGCTTCGTCCACAACTTGTACGCGTTCGTGAACTTGCACACGTGCTCAAAGAGGCTTTTGTCAATGTATTTCCTGATTGTAGCTACCGCCTTACGACTCAGGATCTCCCACTCCTTATCGGTTTTGCCTGCCGGTCTCTCATCAAGAATAATAAGCTCATGTAGATCTTTGCAGTAGAGATGATCTTCCATCATCAGTCTCCAGTAACTGAAATTGTCTGCGGTTAGCTTGAACATATCTCTGTCATGGGTTATGCCACTGGTCTCCATCTCGTCTCCCTCAGAATCCGTCGAACCCGGACTTTGATACCACTGTTGGAAACTCAGATCCCTCAACTCGGCTCAACAGTCTTTTTGCGGAAGTCAATCAACAAGATCTTGGATCTCGGATCTCAGCAATTTTACCTCGGCCTGAACTTCACGAAGTCGGGCAGCGCAGCAGAAAAACAAAAATATAAAGGGGAGAGAGATAAAGAGAACACAAGAAGATTTTAACGTGAAAAAGCCTTCTCCAATGAAGAAGTAAAAACCCACGGGACCTAATACAGTTCAAACGCCCACTATGAAAATAATGGATACAAAGGATCAAAATTCACCAATGTGGTGGTTAACACAACCTCTCCAACAATGGTGATAATCAAACTTCCCTAGAGATGTTTCACTCAAACTCTCTCTAGAGATCTCTCAAATACAAAGCTCAAAGCTCTGCTCACAAATCTCTCAAATAATTTTCTCTATTTTTCTAACTTAGCCTCCACCCACAACTAATGAATATATAGAGAAGGTGAAATTTAGGATTTAGGGTTTTTAAGAAACCCGTCAATGAGCTTGGGCTTAGCATTGAAGGAGAAAGCCCAACAAAACTGAAATACCAGAATTTGGTTCATTATCTATTTCAATCATATAATTATATCTTATTGCATTAATACTCAAGTTTCATGACAATACTTGCTGCTGTCGAGCTAGTGTGAGCGTTCCGTCTAGTTGTTTCTCAAGTTTCTGCAATTCTTTCAAGCTAAGAGGCTCAAGTTCTTCTCCTTGACAATGCCTTCAAACACGGAAAAGAAACAAAATAAATAAAGGGATGAGTTTAGCATACCCTTAAATACAGGCCCGAAAAATTAAGGGATGAGTTTTTGATAAAAGTTTTCATATAAATTTCATCAAAGAATATTTTCATCCTGTTTTGTAAGGTTTTACCAAACTGACTAATAAACCCTAAGATATATCTCAAGTATATTCTATTCGTTACCTTTGTGTGCGCTCAAGAGATTCATATTCCTCTCTTATGTTTAAGAACTCCTGGTATAAGCTCTGCAATATTGCACAATATTGCTGAAACAGTAGATTGATAGAAGCGCAACCTTGTTTTGTAAAGAAGCTTAGCTTGCATTGATGTTGAACAGTTAGAAAGCAGTTCATGGCTACTTTATAGTCATAATGATCACTAGTAATTAGAGAACTTCACGGTTTCCTTTTTTTTTTTCCGCCACATATTTAAAATAAATGTTTATAGAGGGAAAAGATGATGAAAAAACCTGTGATTCATGTTCAAATAAATTGCCATCATGTGAATTGTTGTAACGACATCGGCGATACCTCTCAATGATTTTGTTAATGCTGATCATAGGAAAGAAGATTCGTTACTATTAATTGTTTAATTCGACTATTAGTGCATGATAAGATAAATGTGAGAATCATTTACGGAAAAAGTTTTCTGCCCTTTAAACACAAAAAGAAATGGTTCTTCATTTAATTGATGAACGAAAATGTTGCATATTCTTTCGCCATATATAAGGCGTTTAGAAAAACGCCTATAGCTGGTCCCAAATTTTGAGCCAGGTGAATGACTCTCTACTCCTTCAGACTCACAACATTCTTGAATATTTCAACCTTGATTCTTAACAATATTTTCTTCGCAAAGTTGTTATTTTAAGATATGAAAATAAACAAGGGTTATTAGAAAGAACCGGATGGGGTGGAGCAAGCAAAAATGTTTTTTATGGAAGCCAAGGAGGGAAGATTATAATTAAAATCCTTTATATAATCGTTAAGACGTAATATTAAGTGAGTCTGATGTTTAAAAGGTCATTGAAGATAAAGTTATATCATATTACCTAAAAATGACGTCATTTAGGGGTTGAGAGAAGTAAAATTATAATAATAAAAACGAATATAACCGTAGAATAAATTAAAATTACAAATTTTTTTTTTCAAAATCTCAAAATAACATGATTTTAGAATTAAAAGAGATAATCTATTTACGATCTCTGAAGAAATATTAAACTTATTGAATTCAGGTGTTTTTTTTTTTTTTGGTAATCTAATTCAGGTGTTTTAAATATTTTATCAAATACGCAGCAATATAAAAAAAAAAATAACCTGTAACTAAAAGTGTTGGGTTTCCTCCTTGATGCTAAGCCCAAAACTCATTGAGGGGTTTGAAAAAACCCTAAACATTCTTACTCCAATATAAAAGCATTAGTTGTGGGATGGAGGATATGTTAGCTTGAGAGATTTTTGAGGGTTTTATGAGAAAAGCCTAAAGCTTTGATTTTGAGAGCACTTCTAGAGGGAAGTTAGAAAAGTAAGACCGCTATAGGAAAGTTTGAGAGAAAACCATCATTGTAGGTGAGGTTTGAGTGTACCACCATTCTTGGTAAAGCTTGATTCTTGTAACTCATTATTTTCATAGTGAAAGCTTGATTCTGGACTAGTGTCTCGTGGGTTTTTACTTCTGCATATTGGAGAAGGTTTTCCCATGTTAAAATATGCTAGTGTCCTTCTTTGTCTCTCTCCTCTGTGTTTTTCTTTTTTCCACAGCGCTGGCCGACATGATGATATAGGCCGACCTCTGATTGAAGAGCCGAGTTCTTAGCTCGAAGATTGACTTCCGGAAAGGCTTCTTAGCCGAGTTGAGGGAATCGAGTTCCCAACAGTGGTATCAAAACACGAGTTCGACAGGTTTTGAGGGAGACGAGATGGAGACCAGTGGAATCTCACATGATAAAGATATGTTCAAGCGGACCGCAGATAACTTCACATACTGGAGACCAATGATGGAAGACCATCTGTACTGCAAAGATCTGTATAAGCCCATCATCCTTAAAGAGAAGCTTGAAGGAAAAACTGATAAGGAGTGGGAGATCCTGAGTCGGAAGGCAGTAGCCACGTTCAGGAAATATATTGACAAAGCCTATTAGAGCACACGTACGAGTTATAGACGAAGCTGTAGTCCATGATTCAGAGGAAGACTCCCAAGAACAAAGCACACCTAGTTCGCCAACTTCTGAAGCTCGAGTACAAGGACGACATGAGCATGATTGAACACCTCAACACCTATAAAGGTATTGTGAATCAGTTGTCTAAAGCCAAGATGAAAATAGATGACGAGATGCAGGCTCTGCTGCTGCTGAGCTCACTGCCAAAAAGCTGAGATACTCTGATAGTGACACTGGGTAACTCGGCTCCTGATGAAAAATTGAAGATGGATGTCATGACAAACAGCCTCTTGAATAAGGAATCCAGGAGAAGGGAATGAGGTGTAACCAGCATATTTGAGGTAAATGTGACTGAGAATAGAGGAAGGTCCGATGCATGGGGACATAGCAACTGTCGGGGTCATGATAAATCTAGAGGCCAGTCTAGGCCAAAATATGAGTTGAAGTGCTTATATAGTGGGAGGTCCGATCATAAGAAGTAGGATTGCAAGACTCTGCAGAAAGATGAAAAGAACAACACTGTGACGTCAGATCAGATTATTCCGAAGAAGAAAGAAGATAAGAGCACTATTGTGATGGCTACCAACTCGGATATCGAGATATCCCTCCTTGATGAAGATAATTATATGAATATTGCGTATGATGGCTGCACCTGGAATGTTGACTTCGGTGCCTCCTTCCACATAACTCCACACAAATTTTTTTTCTCCTTTTACCGAGATGGCGATTTTGGAGTTGTGAAGATGGAAAACCAGGTGACCAGCAAGATTATTGGTGTCTGTGATGTAACCCTAACCGTACCATGGATATCGGGTGCCGACTTATGTTGAAAGATGTAAGGCATGTTCCTTATGTGTTTGAATCTAATCTTGGTAAGCAAGATTGATGATGCTGGGTTAGTGAACTACTTTGGTAGTGGTATATGAAAGCTGGCCAAGGGAAACTTAGTTGTTGCCCGAGGTAAGAATGAAGGCTCATTGTACGTGATGCAAGGAAAGATCAATGGCGGAGAAGCCAACTCTATCCGAGATGGACCTAACTTGGAGTTGTGGCACAAGTACCTCGACCACATGAGAAAGAAAGGGCTCCAAATTCTGAACAAGAAATGATTATTGACCCAGTTGAAAGACCAAGCATTGGAGAGCAGCACACACTACCTAGCTGGAAAGCAGCATCGTGTTTCTTTTATAAGACCAGATTAACCCAGATAACACAGGTATATTCTTGACCTCGTCCATTCTGATGTCTGCTATATATCAGAGAGATCACTTGGTGGAGCTTAATATTTTGTTTCTTTTATTGATGATCATTCTCGCAAAATGAGGGTATATTTGTTGAAGTCTAGAGACAAGGTACTCCAATCCTTCAAAGAATTTTATGCTACGGTGGAAAGGGAGACTGACAAGAAATTGAAGGTGGTCCGATCTGACAACGATGGTGAGTATTGCGGCCCATTTGATGCTTACTGTAGAAGAGCTGAGACCTGACTTGAAAATAGACCCTAAGTATAGCACCTCACATTTCTAAAACATGTATTAATATAGTAAATACGAATTAAGGGGTAAGATTAATGAAAATCCTGAAAATTAAGTTAAAATACAAAGAAAGGGTAAAACGGTAATTAGCCAAACACGTAACCCTAGGAAGGTAAAATTGAGTATGAGGACTCAGATGATAAAAACAACCCTGGAAATGGATTCAGGATGAAAAATTGAGTGGTTAGGCAAGTTTCAGAAAATTCTATAAATAATGTTTTTACCTGGTAAAAATATCGCGGTACAGTTGCACCGTAAAACGTGCCGATTGAGTTTTGAGCTCTAGGTTTGGATATAAGTTATAAATGGTATATATGACTAGGAAATATGATTCTGATGAAATTTGATGGAAATTAGTAAGTTTGGGGAAGCGTGCCTATGGCGCGCGTAACAGCTTAAAACTGCAATTTCTTCGAACGACCGGAAAACTCCGGATTCATCTGATCAAGGGTAATTAATGGACAATGGTTAATGTTAAAAATTAGAGTTTCTAAATAGGTTATGAAATTACGGACATTTAGTGTAATCGGATGGAGTTTGAATTAGTTTGAAATCGCGTGAGGTGGCGGTGGGGCCCACCTCACTTAAGTCACTTAAGGCCACATGTGCATGACTATTCATCATCACCCTCACACCCTCTTTCTCTCTCCAAACCCGCGCCCATTGTGTGTAGATTTGAAACTTCTCAAAACACAACCAAATCAAGCGAAGTTTTTCTTGAAACTTGTTGGAAATCACCTCCCAAACACAATGGTAGTAGTCTTGAGCCATGAAACTCCCTAGATTTTGAGAACCCCCCCCCCCCCCCAAACCCGCGGCCATTGTGTGTAGATTTGCACTCATGGTGTTGTTTGGTTCCTCAATGGTTTACTATGTTGTGGAGGAGTCCTAGGCCAAGCTTTTGAGTAAGTTTCATCACTTTCTATTGGTTGGATTAATTGATTTAATTTCATGAACCCTAGAGTCATTTTGTATGAATTGATGTAGTTATAGAGCTCAAATGGAAATTGTGTATTAGATGAATATGTCTTAGAATGATGTCTTGGAGTGATATATGTCATAAAATTTATTGGGAAAAATTGATGATAACTTTAGTGGATTTTGTGTTGAAATCCCATGACTTTGTGATGTTGGTTGGTTTTAGGATTGTGTAATTGAATCGTTGTATGAGTTAATAATAGGATTGTATGAGGTGTGGAGTAGTTGAATTGAATTGAACGATCCTTGGTATAGGCCAATATGGATTTCGGGCAAGAGAGGAAAAATAGGGATTTGATGTTATGAAATTGTATGATTGATATGTTGTGTTGTTAAATGGTAATTAGAAGGGTTGTGTGATAGTTGGATGCTTTGAAATTCAAAGGAAAAAGTGGTTGGTTCTGTGGAATTGGTAATGGGACCTAGAGTGAAATTAATGACAAAATAATGTTGTGATGATATAGGAAGTAATTTGGCACCTAAAATGACATTGTGGTAGCCTTAGGATGCTTAAGAAAAATAAAATAAAGGAAAATAAATTGTATTTTTACACTATAATGGCTGAATCTACCATGGTGTAGGGGATGATTTTGATGTTTTGTGAATTTGATGAATTCACCGTATATTGATGATCCGTATATGGTCATTGTAGATTGCCTTACATGGATTTGAACTCTGAACCGTGAGCTCGGTGGGTTGCCCTTGGTCCTTAACCAAAAGGGATTGTGGTAAGTATTTGGAACCATGCATTTATGCTTGATAATTGGCATGTAATTGGTGAATGGAAATTAAATTGGGAATATCCTATGTGTAGGCATTTCTGTCTGTGTACCTAGCTCGGGGAAGTATTGCATTGGAGCTACGAGAAAGAGATTAGTAAGATAAT